ACCCGTGGCGAGGCCCCAGCTCACTACTTATTGGCTGGGCTGTATTAGAAAACCATCAGCTAGCCTTTGGGCCTGTTCCCTCACCTACAGTATATGTACAGTTTACGGTTAGGATCAAAATTAAAAGCATGTACTAGAAGCATTTTGTAAGAGTAAAGCACTATTCAGCCCTACTGGTAAGTATTATGATTGTCTCATGTTCTCCACCCACAGTCTACTGAAACTCTTTTCCCTTTTAATACATGTACTTTCAACATATGTATAAAAATCATTTGTTTTCACCCAGGAGTTTAGCTGGTCAAAACAAGGTGCCAATTTTTTTTTAAACTTTTATTTATTAAGTAATCTCCGCCCCCAACGTGGGGCTCAAACTCATGACCCGGAGACTGAGTCCCATGCTCCACTGACTGAGCCCCACATTTTTGTTAAGAAATGGACTTACAGTTGACACATAGTGTTACATCAGTTTCAGGTGCTTACCACAAGCATAGCTACCGTGTGTCACGCACATGACATTGTTACAGTATCATTGCCTATATTCTCTGTACCTTTCATCCCATGACTTATTCATTCCATAACCGGAGGCCTAAAATACCCATTTTTGAAGCATTTAAAGCAAAACAGAGAAATGCTCATCATTTAATTTCTCTTCACTCTGAAGGTAAAGTACTCACTGAAGCAGTTTCAGCCCACAACTGCTTTTTGATCTGTCTTCTTGGAGCTAACTTTCTTAAACTAATGCCACTAAGTTTCTGGCAGTAACACAGGTTTAGTTATTTCACAACAAATGAGGCGAACACAAAGTGAGATGTGGGCAGAGTAAATTCCAAAAAGCTGCGAAATGAGAAAACCTGACTGCTACTCTTAGCGCGAAATGAACTCGGGAGTCATTTTAGGTCGGGGTGAGTCTATACCTGGTCAGTTAAAAGATCCACAGCTCTCATTTATTCTACCTATGGGGTCCAGAGACCCCTAAACCTATTAGTATGAAGAAACACTTCCCCCACTGCTGAATCTGAGACCCCATCAGTCCTAAGATGTATGGTTCTTTTATGTGCCACCAAATGAAAGAGGGCAAATAAAATGCTCACAAGGTTGATTTTAAGATACATCCCAATTTCTGTAGATGTTAAATGTTTAAAGTTGCAGAATCAATAAAACTTGCGGGGGGGGGGTGGATTCTGTCTTTTGCTCACTGCTCTATTCCCAGTGCCAAGAATAGTAACAGCCCACAGTAGGTGCTCTGTGTTTGCTGAAGACATGAATGAATGAATGAATGAATGAACAGTACAAATGAGCTCTCATGACTAAAACCATGGACAGCGATCCTTCTGTGAGTGCTCTGCATGAACAGTTATTTAGCTGCTTTAAGCACTACAAAGATTTCCAATTTGTTTTTAAAAATCACAAGGCTATCAGGGCACCTGGCTGACCCAATCGGTGGAGCATCTGACTCTTGATCTCAGGGTTGTGAGTTTGAGCCCCACTCTGGGTGCAGAGATTACTTTATTTTCTTATTTTTTATTAAGTAGACTCCATGCCTAGCATGGAGCCCAACACGGGGCTTGAACTCACAACCCCAAGATCAAGACCTGAGCTGAGATCAAGAGTCAGACACTTAACAGACTGAGCCATTCAGGTGCCCCAAGGTCACTTAAAAAAAAAAAATCACAAAGCTATTTATGTTGCTGATAGGCAGTTCCTTGTATCAGTAAGACTAAGATTTCATATTTCCTTTACTATGCACACGATAAAACACAACAAATTGTGAGCCTGTCAATGAGACCCACACATCAGACCCACACGTCAGACCCAAACATCACATTATTCCCCAACTGGCATTTCATGTTGATGGGGCTCAGGGGCGGCATGCCCCATGGTCACTGTCTACCACATTCATCGTACAGTTCCTTTTCTGGAGGCCCAGTGTACTCCATGCAATGTGGACATGGTGGTGAACAAGAGATATGAAATAAGTCACTCCCAGTGTGATGGGTGCTGACCAGATAGGACCCTGGGGGCACTGGTGTACACCTACTGGCCTCACACCCCTGGGTCCCCTCAGATCCCGGGCCTGCTCATCAAAGGGGTTTAAGCAACAAGCTCTGTCTGGCTGCCTCAGCCCATATGCACTGCATCTGGCCTTCTGTTCTTGTGTACAGGCAGGCCCGCATACGCCTGGATGTGCTCCCACTTCCAGCTAAGCAGACAGACGGAAGCTTACACTGTTTGGGGAAGAATGATACACTAACAGATAACGAAGAAGCAGCTAAGTGCCATGATAAAGACACACTGGCTATTTTGGAATCCTGGAGGGGTGGTGTGAGATGGTAGGGAAGGCAGTTTGGAGGAAGCGATGTTGGACTGAATGCTGGGAGTGAACAAGAGACGCAAAGGCAAAGAGGAGAGAAACTACACCAAGAACCAGTACGAAGCAGTCATGTAGGGGCTGAGGTGGGAGGGGAAGGGAGGACACGCCATTGCCTGCAGACCTGGAAATCCAAGAAGGTGGTGACGTGATGAGAACAGTTTTAGAAGATGTGCTGGGCTGGCTTGTGGAGGAGCGGTTCAAGAGAGGGGCAAACAGAGTTAAGGAGACTGGTTAGGAAGTAAGCAAGTTCAGAGTCTAGATGAGATAAAGGGGGCTCAGGGAGGGCAGAGTAACTCAGAAGATGAAACAGGCAGAAGCAAGAGACAACGTATGAGGGGTGGGGGAGAGGGTCAGGAAGAGGAGTCCAGGACATCGCTGTGTGTCCAGCCGGATTCTGAGTGGATGGTGGGCAGAGGTGAAGCAGAACAGGTTTTAGGGGGAGGAAAATGAAACACTTTGGGGCATCTGAGTCTGAGGTGCCCATGGGACACGCAGGTGGAAGTGCCCTGTTCACAAGGCCTATCTGAGCTGAAAGCAGCCAGGTCTGCTCTGGAGACTTCGGGTTAAGAACCTTCAGCGGACTTGGGATCCCTGAAACCATGACAGTAAGTGAAATCTCTCCGGGAGATCCCCAGCAGAATTGAAGTTAGGAATTTGGTCTTCATTCCTTTCTAGCAGACTTCCCATGAAACTGTATTTTCTTTTTCCTGGGTAGTCCTTTGTGATTTCTCCTCAAAATAACCCAAACTAAAAAAGTCAGTACCAGGGTAGATAGTACTTGTTCTTTCAAGTAGACTCTAAAGGCATTGGTATTAGCAGTAAACAAATCAAAATCTATCCAAGCACAACATAAAACCCCCAATGCATATTGTAGTTCACACCCTCAAGAGCTTACAGAACACGTTTTGGATCAAGTACACGAAATCCTTCAATGGCATCCCACTGCAGTCAGGAAACAAACTACGAAGCCCAGTGTGACCTGGCCACTACCCACTCTTCCAGCTTTAAGTCCTAACACCTCCCTTAACTGGTCTTCCAGCCATTTCTAGGGCACGCTCCGCTCTTCTCTCCCGCCTCTGTTCGCACCCGATCATTACCCCAGGGGCCTTCCTGGAACAGCCTATGAAAAGGAGCTCCCTCTTCCCTTGATTTTCCTCTCCCTTCCTACTCTTACAAAACTCCATTTTAGTTACCCACCCCCCGGCCCGGTTTACTCGTGCAACTTTGAAAGTAGGGATTCTGTCTCTCTTGTCTGCGGTGACTCCGGCCACCTAAGGTGTTGGTCCAGTCAACGCGTGAATCCGTGGAGAGCACAGCAGAAACACTCGGGCCTGGTGTGGTGCCTCGAGGGCCGGGCGCAGGGTCGGGCAGACTGGCCCACTCTCAGCCTCCCCACTCCCTGTGACTTTGGGCACACTAGCCAGCCCCTGCGGGCTGCAGCCCCTCAACCGTCACGGCAGGCTGGACCCGGCGGGCAGCGGTTCCCGCGGCGCGGACGCACACAGGCGCGCGGCAGCAGCGCCCGCGGGCCCCCCCCGGCTCCCCCCCGGCCCCCGGCCGGGCCGCCATGTGGCGCGGATGACCGCCGGGCGCCCACCTGTCTCCCTCTGCGTCTTCACGCTGATGTACTGGCGCAGCTTCTTCACCGCCCGGTCCCGGATGCCCTTCTCGTGGGACGCCAGCCGCTGGGCGAACTGGAGCTCGGCCGGCTGCATGGCGGGGGCCATCGCGCCCGCTGGACCATCCCCGGCCGCAACCCGCCGCCCGCAACCTCCCGCCGCCGCCGCCAAGCAGCCCGGGACCGCGACTGCGCAGAAGGCGGCTCGCGGCGGCGGCGGCGCGCAGGCTGATGGCGTCACAAAGGCGCCGGCCGCCGCCGCTCGCCCGCGTTGTGGGGGCGAGCGCGGCAGACCCTGGCAGCGGGCGGAGCAACCCAGTCGGGGTTCGGTCGCGCCTTCGCACCTCGGCTGTCTGTCGGTCGCCACGGCTCCGGGCGTTTGGCGGCGAGGTTAGCTAGCGTTGGGTCTTGGCCAGGAAGAGACGGATGGCCAATTTCAGTGGTCTAGAATCTTTAAGCCCACTCTACGAAAACTCCATCCGATCGACTGCTCACCTACGAGACAGACGGCGCCGAGTTTTTAATTGTATTGGACTCCTTGAGCCTCCAATGCGGGGTGGAGCCTGAGAAGGACGGCAGTCGTCGGGTTATGGGCGGGATGTTGGGGACAGCCCCATTGAGGGGTCGCCCTGATCGGGGCCAGGTCTGAGCCTCTGCTGCTGTCGGAGGCAGTGCCTTCCAGCGTCCCCCGTATCCGGGTCCCGGGGCAGGGGCGGGGCAGGGGTAGGGACAGGGCAGGTCCCGGTGCACAGGATGGTAGGGTCAGGATCAGGTCCCGAAGCAGGGGATGGCAGGGTCAGGGTCAGCTCTCTGTGCAGGGCATGGCAGGGGCAGGGGCAGGGTCAGCTCTTTGCAGGGGATGGCAGGGGCAGGTCTCGGTGCAGCGGATGGGAGGGACGGGGGCAGGGTCAGGTCTCTGTGCAGGGGTTGGAAGGGGCAGGTCCCAGTCCGGGTGGTGGCAGAGACAGTTTCCAGTGTAAGGGATGGCAAGGTCAGGGGCAGATCCTGGTGCAGGGGATGGCAGGGGCAGAGGCAGGTCTTGGTGTAGGGGATGGCAGCGACAGAGGCAGGTACACGGACAGATGCAGGGGATGATGGGCTGGTACAGGTCCCGGCATGGGCGCAGAGATTCAGAGCGTGTACTTGTGAGTCTGTTCCCAGGCCTGGAGAATGTTCAGAGGACTCTGGTGTTGGCTCCCTGCAATAACCCAGTACATTTGAACCCACAGGCTGGTTGTGCAATAACCCAGTACATCTGAACCCACAGGCTGCAGCCTAATTTGCAGACTCGGTGGGCATGTGGGGGCAAGTGAATGGATGCGATGGCATCTTCCAATTCATGGTGGTCGTCTCAGTTGCTTAGCCAGATATCTGGACTGACCTTCCCTATCCAGGGCAGACGAGGAGCCTGCCGTCAGAAGGCTTCGAGCCTTGCTAACGGAGCTTAGAGCCCAGCGAGGGAGCATACTCGCCAACCCCGTGCGGGCGGTGCCCTTGAAAGCATCGTCCCTTAGTGTAGCGTCTCTTGCCAAACAGGAAAGGTCCAGTTCGACTTATTTAACTTGACACTCACACTTGGGTCTCACCGTCCTTCTACTTTGCAGTTAACGAGTTTAAAGATCCGGTTAAGCCAGGAAAGCCGACGCGGAATCTCTCCGACCCCAACCCTCGCGCGCGGGGCCGAGAATGCCGCTCAAACTCTTCGAAGTTTGAGCCTCGCTGCTCTCCGTTTTCCGACGCCGGTGTGGCCGCATTCCCGCGCTTTCGGGCGTGAGGGGTCAGAGGGCGCGCCGCCGCGCAGACGCAGGGAGCCGAGGCTGCGGCGGCGGCCATGAGCGAGGCGGGCGGCGCTGAGGAGGCCTTCCGGGTCAGTGAGGAGGCCCAGCCTGTGTGGCGACCCGCCTGGTCTTGCCCCGTGGCTCCCCGGACTGCCCTGGGCCTCGTCCGTGGCAGGGTGGCCCCCGGGGTGGGGCTGGGGCCGCCGCCGCCGCCGCCGAGCGTGCGGGGCCTGCGCCCTGGGGCCGGGGGCGCGACGGCGGGACGCGTGGCCCGAGCCCGGCCCTCAGTGCCCGCTGCAGGGACGGCGCTGGCCGCAGGTTCCGGGGCTGTGGCCGCCGCTGCGCGGGATGGGCGAGACCCGGCTGACGGCGTTCGCTGAGGGTCGCTCCGCCTGCCCCTGCCTCTGTCCGTGGCCCGACGCCTCGAAGCGTGGAGCAGGCTAGCGGGGGGCACTGAGTGGGGGCCGCCGAACGCCCGCTTCCTCTCCGGGAGCTGGGCGCCGGGACGGACGGAGGCAGCGGCCGGCATCCCCCTTGGCGTTCGGGGGAGGGCTCGGGTGCACCCCTTGGCGTTCGG